TCTGTGCTCTACATCTAAAGCCTCAGACAGATTGGTCTAGCATGGCCTAATAGCTTTTATCAGCTCACCCAGTGGCCCTTGGACTTCGATGAAAGCCGGGAGCTAACTACATAATGCCAGGCCCCTCTGAATGCTTTCCTTTTTTAAATGGCACTGTTTACATTTATGGCGGCCCCACCCCTTTTACTTTCTCAGTGAAGGGACCCCTAAGGACAGAAGGTACTGGCTCTTTTGCCATACTTTCTCTGATTTCATAGCTTCATTTTATTTAATTCAAGAGAATTGCTGGGTATGTTGTGCACTGCAACAAAATAAATCTTTCTTTCTCCCTCCCTCCCTCCCTGCCTCTCTCTGTCTCTCTCAGTCTCTCATCTCATATTTTAAACTCCCATGATTTCTCTTCCCAATATCTATATAGAACATTTTGCTGAGAATAAAATTGTTAATCTATTTCAGCTTATCTGACAAACATGCTTATTTTCCTGCTTTTTGTATGAAAACATCTCTAGGAAATTTATTAGGTGAAGCTCTGTTTTACTTAAATGTTAAATAATAATATAAACTTATTTCTGAAATAGTGAAACTATTTGAAAAAGCATTCACTTACTATCATAGTTTATGTCATACAGAAAATGATAAGCATCATAGAATAAGTTTTTCCTTCTTTACAATAGATTAAGCTATATTTTCAGTGAATCTATGAGATATGTAATCTTAATTATACCTCTGCAATAAACTTTACATTCAATGACTATGGTTTCCCCAAAAAGTAATAGAGTTTAAGGACCCATAGACATGATAGAAAGCAAATACACTTTATTTATTTATATTTATTTATTTTGAGAGAGGGTCTTGTTATATACTTTAGGCTGCCCTTGAACTCATGACAATCCTCCTGCCTCAGCCTTCTGAGTGGTGGGATTACATGCATGCACCACCATGCTTGGCTGCAAATACACTTTTGTGGTTAAAATGCCATAGTTTCATGGCATTTTAAGGTAGGGACCGACAAGGAACGGAATTCTGGGTTTCCACTTACTGGTTGTATATTCTTGAATAGTTAAACTCTCGCAGATTCCATTTTCTATTAAATAAAATCATACTGATGTTCCTAATTCAGAAATTTCCCAGGATAAAAATGAGGCACATATGAAAAAGGCCTAAAAAATATTGAGTATAAAGCAGCCCAATGGCAGCAACTACCAATGCTACTTTCATTAATAGAACACTGAGCAACAAGGGGTACTAATCCAGAAGACTGGATATTCTAGGATGTATTCTGCTAAGTCAGTTTAGGAAACCAGCCTCAGAGAGAGCATCATGCCTAGGTAGGACACAGGCAGGGAGGCTGGCATGGACAAACTGGGATGAGAGGGTGAATTCTATGCTGGGGAGGTCACAGCTCCAAATTTTAGAGTCATATTTCCCATTATCATACTAACTTCTCTCTGTTACTTTGCAACGGCATATGCTATGCCAGGACTACCTATCCTGGATAGGCTCGGTCACTTTACTGCATTTAAGACTGTCAGTTTACTTTTTAATTATTGGAACCTTTACATACTTTAATTATATGCTTGTGAGGAATAGAAAGCCTTTTCCTCTCCTGCTCTCCTTCTGCCTCTATTCTTTATAGACAATATTAATTCCCATTTAGGACTATTTTAAAAACTGGAAGGATTCAAGCTTAAAATAATGCAGTGAATGGTAGAGAAGTGTGTATGCCTTCAGGTTCTCCTACACTTGTGCATTTACATTTAGCCTTTCCTTCAGAGAAACGAAATTCATCTTGAATTGCTTTATGCCATTTGCCTTTCTGTATTTCAGGGGCCCTGTCATTTTCTTTGCTTAGCTTTAGCATTTATCAATCACAACTAGCAAGACAGGTTGTGGTATTAACAGAAAATCCCACAGGACCTTCTTCACTGGGTAAGGGGAACATCTGCTACTTTTATGTTGGGGTGCCAGGATGTAAGGGTCAAGGCCGAGGGCTTTGGGGCTCAGGGTGCAAGGCTGCAAACAGAATAATGAATAGCAGTTGCTGACTGGCTGGGTCTGCCTGTTCTCAAAAGGGAATGTTGCAGTTCAACGTAATGAGCCTGCACTGGTGTGCCTAACACACCCAGCTTGGAAATCATATTGAGGCAGGCTGTATCTTTTATTCCCTGGGTTCTGAACTGCATTTTCATCTTGGAAGAAATTATACTGAGGACTTCATAAGTGGCACCCAGCAGGGGAAAGGCTTCACCAGGTCTGATAAGCACTATGGCTAAAAGCGATCAGCCTTTGTGCCTGGAGTGGAAGGTTTAGGTTGCCTGAACCAGAAAGAGTCTGAAGAAGCGATTATGTTAAGCAAGTAATGTGTATCGGTAACATAGAATCAAATTATTAGGGTCAGTAACTGCCCAGCTTTCCCAGTGCATTCAGTAAAGACGTACTATTGCATTTGCGCTGTGTACCTTTTAATGCTGCACAGTGTCAGCACTGTCCGGCTGTCTGTACTTCACAGCATGTCACCTCTAATTTCATGGGATTATCTGCACCGTTGCTTTATGAGACACTCATACTCCTCGGCTTCCTTTGAATTCATAGCAGGGCAGTGCAAAGTCATTTTGGTGAATGCTTCTGTGCTCTCTATGTTACATACAAAATTATTATTGCCATCGCTTAGAAAGATAGATATGTGCTTCTGTCATGCCTCCAAAGGTCTGCACTTACTTGTTTTGAAGACGTATTTTATTTTGTATATGTTTGCAGTTCATAATTATTACGTCCCTCATGGGGAGTGTATGTAGCACATCTCAGGTCTTTTTTTCACCATTACTTTTCCCTTCCTCCTCCATCCTTCCATCTCTTCATCCCCTTTCCCTTTGCAAAAGATCTATCTCCTGTTTCCTGTTATTTTCTTATTAATTTTGTTGTTTATCTTATTTACATTTTGGGTTTCTTGTATAAGAGAAGCTGTGCACTCTTTAACCTTCTGCATCTGATTTGTTTCACTTAATATTATAATCTCAGGTACATCCATTTTCCTACAAATAACCCAAGTTCTTTCCCTTTTTGGCAGAATAGCACTCCATTGTGCATAAATGCCAGATTATTTATTTGTCTGTTGATGGACATAGAGGTCACTTCCAAGATGTAGCTATTATGAGTTGTGCGCTATAAGCAACTTCAGGTGCCAGATCTGTCTGGCCAAAGATCTGATGTGGTTCCCCCTTCAACTGTGTTCTGTTAATAGGTACTGTACCAGGCTCCGTGTGTCATTGGAGTAGGACCTATATTTTAATACTGCTCCTAATGTTTCATTTTATTCACAAGAAATCTTTGATTTCATTTTATTCTTTGTAATTTTAGACACTAGATTGTAGTTTAGGCATTACTGACATTTTTTTAAAAAGGGATATATTTTCTTGCACAGCTGTTCAAAAAGAGAGACAAGTTTCAGTCCTCAGTGCTGTCCTCTGTTTTACAGGTATAAGTTCTCTAGCTCAGCCAGCTGTGAGAGGCTGCCGAGAGCTCTCCAGCCGTGCCTGCGCTGGGTGGGCCAAACAGGGATGCAGGCAGTAGGGATCTAACAGCCCAAGGCTGTTCTGTACTAAACTGTTACTTTGTATCAGAATTTAAAGACTTTAGTACAACAAATAAAGGTCAATGTCTGTAAAAAAAAAAGCATGGGTATGCATGTATCCCTGTAATATGATTTTTTTTTAAAGAAAAACTCTTTTAGGAAGATACCTAGAATGGGAATACTTGGGTTGAATAGAATTTCTAGTTTTCTGAGGAATCTCCGTACTGATTTCCGTAGTGGTTGTACTAGTTTACACTCCCACCAACAATATAGAAGGGTTCCTTTTCCCCAGCAGCCTCTCCAGCATTTGCTATTAATCTGATTTCTTGATGATAGCCATTCTTTCTTGAATAAGGCAGAATCTCAGTGTTTTAATCTGCATATCTCTAATGACAAAAAATATTGAATATATTTTCAGGTATTTATTGGCCATTTACATTTCATCTTTTGAGAAGTGTCTGTTCATTTCAGTTGGCCATCTGTTAACTGAGTGTTTAATGGTGTCTAAGTTTTTAAAATTGTTTATGTTCTCAATATTTTAATGTAAAATTTTTTAAAATTATGTAGATTGTCTTTCCATTCCCTTGGTTGTTTCCTTTGCTGTGAAGAACTTTTATGAATTTGATATGATCCTATTTATTGATCCATCTCTTGTATAATTGTTCCATCTCTGGTATAATTGGGGTTCTGTTCAGAAGACCCTTGCTTATGTCTTCAAGAGAGTTACTTATTTTTTCTTCCAGCAAATTAAATGTTTTAGTTTAACCTTCAAATCTTTAATTCATTTTATTTAAGTTTAGTATGTGGTGAGAGCTATGGCTCTACTTTCAATCCTTTGCATGTGGATAGCTAGTTTCCCCAGCACCATTTGTTAAAGAGAAGACTATCTTTTCTCCAGTGCATTTGACCCCTTTGTCAAAGATCGGATTGCTGAATGATCCTGGAGTTGTTTCTGTATCCTCTATTCTGTTATTGAGGACTTATTTTAGAAAGGTGTCAAGCAGTGAGTTAGTATTAGAAAAGTATGTAATTTACAGTGGCTTTCAAAGTGCAAGTTGTTTAGGCTGGCTGCCTCAGACTCACTTAGGAGCTTGTTAAACCTAGGGGATCAGAAACTCTAGCACGGGGCTGTGTTTTAACGAGTCTTCCAGGTGATTCCAACACATGCTCTAGCATTTGTGGAGCGCATGTTCTAGGGGTATAGAGTAGACAAAACAGGTGAAATATCTGCCCTTGTGGACCTTATTAAATTACAAAGGAAGATGTGGTACTTTGTTATGATGAAATGTTTATTGCTACCCTAGCCGAGCCTGTAATTATCAAAGATGCCATTATTTTCCTCTTTCAAATGAGCCTGCTATCCTCTTTGGTATCAGAAGATAACTAACAACAGACAACTAATAAGTGATTCTTTTTTTTTGCATTTCAGAACCGTCCCTCTTGCAATATGTATATCCATGGTCATTGTCACCCTTGGCTACGTGCTAACAAATGTGGCCTACTTTACAGCCATTACTGCTGAGGAGCTGTTGCTTTCAAATGCAGTGGCAGTGGTAAGTCCAAGTTGAAAAACTGCCAATTTGAATTTAGGTTAATGAGTTGGTGCAATTTTATAGTAGTTCCCTCCAGGAGAAAGTGTTTTGGAATTCAGTTATCTTTTATTGACCTGAATGATAATGACTAAAAAATTTAGAGCACACCTTAGCATATTCCATTTAACGGGTCTAGGTGAAAGCCTCAATGATTTCTCTTTTCTCTTAATTTCTTGTAAAAACATTTCCACATATACCTGCTTGAAAATATGTCAATGACTTTTTAGTAAAAGGTATCATTCTTTAACATATTTAACATATTTTTTTAAGGACAGGTGGACTGAGTGTAAATAAATGTTTTTTTATGTATATATATACAAATTGCAATTCATTTGTGCACCCTTCCTGTTTGTAAGCTTTCCAAATACTGATTTAAAATCTTTTACCCAAAGTATTACTGAAGAATTTTTAGGTGAGCCATGTATATTTGGTTTTTCTATTATATCCTTTGAACGTTAGTCTCGGGAGAATAATAAATTTGGGAAGTTTTGGATGATTAAATGTTAAACATATGTTTTTGCTGTAGTACTTCTCAGAATATTAAAGATATTAGTGTGCATTTTAACTGTCTGAGAAGTAGATACACATAATTTCACAACATTTTCCAAAGTTTGACACCAAGACTGTCTTTGTCCCCAAAGATCATGTCATCGGACTGTTATTCTGTGACAAATACTTTTATTTTGCATAAAAATTTAGCTTATAAGAGAACATTCACTTATGACCGCCTAACAATGAAAGGGAAAAAATTAACCTCCCATCATTGAATGTCAGGTCTTTTTAAAATAGTCTGTATTACCTCAGATAGCAATATCCACAGGGAATAAATTATCTCATGTTGGGTGAACCCATGTATGAGTTCACGGTATTAAAAAGACTTTGTCCACTGCCGTACATCCTATCACAAAATCAAATGTGCAAAGCTTATTGATGTCAGGTCAGTTGCCTCATCTTTCTAGACAAAGGGCAGCACTTATTTTGGGGGCATGATGTTGTCCATTAAATGCACTGTACCAGATGTATCAAGGGCAACTAAAGAGTCCCACACAATCTTTGAGAAAATACATCCCTTATGGAAATTTACAATGTTACATATAAAAGGAGATTTCAGAATTTGCTTAACTTGTATACTTTCTCTGACTTTTTGGATTTGTGTTAGTGTTTTAACCTTTTTTATGGGAAAGCACAAAAGAAGTAGTAGCTACCTGAGAATGAGAAAGTGACTCCATAAACAGGGGTTCAGCTTGCGTGATTCTTCCAGGGAAAATATTTCTCAGAGCTATTCATGTATACATTATATATATGATCAAATCATCCATTGTTTTATTTATCCCCGAGTGTGGAATTGGTGTAAGAAACAAATGTCTGTAATAATTCTTGATGTATATCTATACCTCTCTGTAAAAATATGGCTTTCCAGATTCAAGGGAAGGTACTGTGCAGAGGATTTCTGTCTTCAAAAGTAGAATGTCTGAATTGAGCTTTATACACTTATCAGAGTCTAAAATGATATATCATGGTTGATAAAGAGTCAGCAAGTGGATCATTGCTCTTAAAGGTGGAGAGAAGGTGCTTGTTTGGACCTTTTGCCACAGTTTTGCAACAAGAAATGCTATGGTACCTGCTTCTGATTATTGTCTGCGGAGCTAGTCGGACCCTAAACAAACAGAAAGGTTATAAAACATACACGTATCACTGGGCTAACAGAAAGTCATAGAGCAAGTTTGACCTAAATTGCTTCATTTTATTCTTTCTGGAAAAGCGTTAATTTGCTTCGTTCCTTCTTTCACTAGACGTTTTCTGAGCGGCTACTGGGAAATTTCTCATTAGCAGTTCCGATCTTTGTTGCCCTCTCCTGCTTTGGCTCCATGAACGGTGGTGTGTTTGCTGTCTCCAGGTGAGTGAGTTCATGTATTTCCAGAAACACATTTCTGTATTGGAGATTGGATGTGATAAGGATAACTTTAAAATGAAAAGCAACAGTGCCTCCAAACCTGTTGTTTTTAAAGGGACAGGCATGTTGATAGCCGGTGTGAGTATCCACAGCATGTTTTTCTCTGTCCATTAGAGGGCACTGTTTCTCTGTGCAGAGCACGCTCTGAAGCCAGGCACGCGGCATTTTTCTATAGTAAGTCTACAGAGCCTAACAACGGCGTTTTATTTCTGGTGATAAAATCTTTTGTTTTTCTAAAGGTTCCATGAGAAAAAAAAGTAAAGTAAGAGACACCAGAAATCACCATCGCACCATCTGTATCCCTTTTCTTTTGTGTGATGCCGAATTCCCTTTAGCTTCAACAGGATAAAATTAAAACCTGATCAGATAGATAGGAATGCTGCCTGTGGGCATGTGTGTGCGTGAGTGTGTGTGTGTGTGTGTGTGTGTGTGTTGATTGGATTGTACTGACAATGCACATGCAACACACATATGTGCTAGGACTCTAGAACTAAATTCTCATTCAGCTATGTACATTGTGAGGAGAACCATACTGAGTCTCATGCTGCTATGACTCTCCTCTGAGAATAGTGTAAGATGTTGGCAGACTTTGTAAATCTTGAATTGAGAGTTCTTAGGATGTTCTCTACCTTATCTGAAGAGTGAAATCTAAGTAATCAGCTAAGACATGCCAAACGGTTTGGTATGATACAGATGCGAGTGTTCTTGGGATTTCTGGATTTTCCCTGTGAAATGATCAATTACACAGTCAACTCCACCCACATTTCTCTCCCATCAGGTTATTCTATGTTGCGTCTCGAGAGGGTCACCTTCCAGAAATCCTCTCCATGATTCATGTCCGAAAGCACACTCCTCTACCAGCTGTTATTGTTTTGGTAATGCATATTAACAAGTTTCTCTAGATAAAAACTCAAATAACAAGTTAGCAAAGAGAAATTCAATTCAAACAGACTTCAGATCGTGCTTTACTTTCTCACTGGCTCTATGTGTGTCGTGGTGGAGTTTGGGAGGCAGGATGTTTTCCACGGCTTCCCTTTACTTGGCTTTGCTGATGAATTTTTGAAGCTTTAGGGCATGAACCACATCACTTCTATTTTACCTTTGTAGAAATTCGTAAGGTCTAAGGAAAATAATTAGCGTGGCTCCTTTTATTGACAGAGAACCTCAAAGGAAAGTATATAGAGTTAAAACATCCTAACTACTGACAGAAGATATAGCTAAAATCCACTGTCAAAAGAAAAAAAAAAACCAAACTACCTAGACGTCTCATCATGGATCTCCTGTAATGAAATGCACACAGAAAATTGATGAAAGAATTGATGAAATCCTAGACAGTGCAGGGATTCCTTGTACAGGAAAGAAAAAAAAGCACTAACACTTACATTTAAGTTGTAGACTTCTCTATGCAGAGAAGTGTTTGTGAAATGTGGGATACAAAAGACTGTAAAAGGTGTAAAAGTCCTCAGATACCCATTGGCAGTGCTATAGTCATTCTTACCTACAATTTTGTAACATTTTTCTCAACTGGAATCTGCTGTCAGAGGTACCATAGAACACATTGAATACCACTCCCCCCTCCTCGTACGTTTAATTTATTTCAGAATGTTTCCTTGAAATTTCTTTTTAAAGTACTGCATACTCTCTGTGAGGAATCTGGAAGTTAACGTCACTTGTGGGAACAGAATGTATTATTCCGTGAAGAGGCTCTCATTTTAAGCGTCTGCTATCAGTCATGCTGTCCTTGGCATGTGCAGCTGTGGAGCCTTGCTCCGCTGTTCTCAGCACTTCATTCTTTTCAGAGGTTTTGAGGGTCACACATGGCAAGCACACAGGGACAGTAAATGTGAAGGAAGGAAAGGTCAGTGTTTTGCATTCACAAGCCAGCAGATTCACCAAGAAGTGGCCGTGTCCATGTGTGTGCATAGCCAATAGCTCGTCAGAAAACCTTCGCAGAGCTTTTGCTCTGAGTTTTCCAATGAGGCTCACACTTAATGTTTATTACTGGTTATTTCCTAGTCATCTCGATCTTTGAGTCTTCACATTTTGAATGAGTGAATATCTTGCCTTTTACTCTTTGAAAACATGTTCTCTTCTCTAAAATGTAAAAAGAACTACAAACCAAAGCTCCCGGGGGCTGGGGATTTAGCTCAGCGGCAAAAGCGCCTGCCTGGCAAGCGCAAGGTCGTGAGTTCGGTTCCGGGCACCGGAGGAAAACCAAAAAAAAAAAAACAAAAAAAACCCAAAAAAACCAAAGCTCCCTTTAAAATTCCACTCTAATGCAGGATAATGATAATGACACCGGTGTAAACGGATTATAAGAGCAGAATGTAGAAAGAATCTAGGAATCTGGGTTTTGATCATGATGATAGTTTATCAGTGCAAGTAATCATTTGAAGAAGATAACAGTGAGAACTGTAATGTGCAGTGATGTTATTGTTTGTTGTCTTCTATGTTGTTTAAAGTCACCGACCTTGTTTTTTCTCCGTTTTCCCCCAGCATCCTTTGACAATGATAATGCTCTTCTCTGGAGACCTGTACAGTCTTCTGAATTTCCTCAGTTTTGCCAGGTGGTTTTTTATTGGGTTGGCAGTTGCTGGGCTGATTTATCTTCGATACAAACGCCCAGATATGCATCGTCCTTTCAAGGTAACCTCAGCAATCTTGATGGGTTTACATAAATCTTTCTCCTCATACCCAGCCCTCCCTTTGTCATAACTTGATGATGGGGAGGTTGGTGGGAGCAGTGTCCTGTGGAATAGAATGTTTAACTCTTGCATGTAGTGCCTTCGGAGGAGTTTAGCTTGCAAAAAAATCATTTGTGCATATTTTTCTAATGTGATGCACTGAACTTTGGCTGCCACATTTTCAAAAAGAGGTACGTTTGTTTGTATGTTTGTTGTGTTGAATTCTCATGAATGGGTCCAGTGACCTGAGAGAGCCGAAGGATGGGCTACTTCTATCTTCAAGCTCAATAGTCATGAATGGTCTGTGCTGAGAAAAAGTGAGGCAGATGCTATGTTAATTCAAACACCAAAAAGGATGCTGTTTTACCAAACAAGCATTCTAAGCCTCTTACATGTTGTGAGTTGCTACATTACTCTTTACTTATGTTATGTATCCTAAAGAAATAGAGATGCAAACTACACAGGGTAAGAAAAGATCTATGAATTTACCACTCAGTAGAATATCCACTGACTATCGTTAACATTTTCCTTCGAAAGGGCTTGTCATCTTCTCCAGTCTTGAACAGTCATGGATTGATTCGACCTCACTGTTTATTTGCTTTTAAGAAATAGTACAGATAATGTTGTCAGCTATGTTGTCAGAATTTGTTTCTAATTATACTCGTTGCCTAATGCCGGCAGCATCTTTATTAGCGGTTGAATAGGAGTTGGTCTGTTTCATTCCTGGCAGTTCTTATTGTGGATCTCAACAGAAAATCAATATGCACTGAAAGGTTTGAACATGTAACAAGCTGCTAGTGCTCTTGATGCCACCTAGAAGTGGATTCTCATCATAATTATCAAAGAGCCAATCTTTTAAAATCAACAACATAAATCATAATGGTACTTAACCAGCAAAATAATTCGAACAGATCGTCTCTATTGAAACACCCCCTTTTTAAGCCTCAGACTTTGTCCATGTAAAGATTGAAATCAAGTGAAAAGAAAATATATCAGGAGAATTATGTTAAATATATTCTATGTACTCCACGTGGGAGATTCTGTTGTGAAGTGGGCTGCTGGCTGTCACAGGGCTGCAGTGTCACCAAAGCACGTGCAACTTGAACACAGACAGACGTGCACATCTTGAATGCATCTCCTAAATCCTGAACCCTGTCTGAAGTGAATGTTTTCTGTGCTGTGTCCTAGGTGCCGCTTTTCATCCCAGCGTTGTTTTCCTTCACCTGTTTCTTCATGGTGGCCCTTTCCCTTTATTCTGACCCATTCAGCACTGGTATTGGATTTGTCATCACTCTGACTGGAGTCCCTGCATACTATCTCTTTGTTATATGGGACAAGAAACCCAACTGGTTTAGAAGAATGTCAGGTAAGACTTTCCAGTATCTTGTGAGAGACTGTTGTGGAAAAGCCATGTATTTACACATACACTTTTTGAGGCAGGGTTTTGCTATGTAGTTCAGGCTGGCCTTGATCTCATTTTGTAGCCCAAACTGGCCTTGAACTGGTGACAACCCTCCTGCCTCAGCCTCCCAATGCTAGGACTGGAGGTGTGTGCCACTATGCCCAACATGTATATATGTAACGTGGGTATCTCACACTTAAAAAATGTAGATGGCACAGTTGCTTCCTGGAATACATCACTGCATTTTAATTAGGACTGAGAGAAGAAAAAGCAGAAAGGACACTGAGGGTACAGCCATCGAATCCTTTCAGGATGCTTAATTTGGACTGCTTTAATCACTTCTTAAAAGAATAGCTTTTTAGCTAGGATTCTATCAGAAATTCTGTGTGCGACCCAATTGCTCTTTTGAATTCCTTAGTAACCTAATTATTTTTTCTGGAGTGAATGCAATTTTGTGTTTTTTATCATAACCTATAACTTGATGAGTGATGTGAGATTTGTTGAGGAGTTATACAGAAGCCTGCAAAGTTCTTAAATATCACAATTATGAACACTACCTTGTTAGGAATGGTGTCAAAATAACAGCAAAAACAGTGAAGAGAAGAGTAACAGCTCCTTCGTATAGCACTATTTCTCTGTGTGTGTGTATATGCATGGCCTTATTTAGTCACTGTGACCATCCTCTAGGTAGGAACAAGCAACCCCATATCACAGGTTTGAGTCATAATGTGGGAGCATTTACGCCACTTTTCCCAGGTTGTACAGATATAAAGTAGGAGAGCGGGAATTCAAACTCAAGCAGGTCCATGTCTCAGAACAGTCTCCCTGGGGGCTGTGAGGATAGATTAGAGAGGGTTGAGGCTGAAGACAGGGAACTGAATCTGGTGTTCTGTGCGGCACTACCAGTGAGTGTGGTGGAGAGTCCAAGCGCAGGCTAAGGCGGGAGGCTCTGAGAGAAAGGGAAAGATACTGAAGCGCAAGCCCAATAGAACTGGAGGACCAGCTAAGGGGAGGAGGAAAAATGTAGTAGAACAGTAGGTGGGAGGGGCTGGGAGACCCTGTCTGTGTGTCACTGGCTCTCCCAAGCCCTTCCCTGTGTCACCATCTTTGTTCTCAACAAGATCCTTGTGTCAGGTGTATTACTCCCACCCGGGGGGACAGCAGTGCCCATGGAGATGGAAATTTATTTTTAATTGTACCCATTTTTAATTGTGGGGCTAGGATTTGAACTCATGCTTGCTGGATTTCAAAGTCTATGCTCTTTCTAAGTTGAGTGCTTGGTGTTGGAGAAAATCAGGGGTTGGGGAGAACAAAATATAGACAGAGGGGAACCTGTGTCCTTCTTCCTAAATTTGATGAACTTGGAATACAACTTCCCTTTGGTGTCATAGTTCTTTGTTTTAATGTACTTAGTTTATCATAATTAATTTTTTAAATCCCAGTTAAACATCCAGGGGGATTTCCAGAAAAATTATTAAGAAGTACTATGAGTTCTAAAAGAAAAACAAAAAAGAAAGCCTGGGTGTTTCCATGAAAAGTGAGAGGTAACCAAATGGGTTAGTGCTTATCACTGTGAGGTGTGCACTTTGAATCTCTAACGTGTCACACAAGCTCATTTAGAAGCCCATCACTTAAAACACAGCTTTGCTACTATTTTTTATTAGTTTTTAATTGGAATTTGATACCTTTAGACCACTACTTCTATCTGGATTTTATAACTTAGCTTGTAACACTATTCCCCAAAGCAATGTCGCCATGCAAGTTAGGTGGTTTTCAAGGCTAACAAAAGCTTGCTGATTCATTTAAATGAGTGTTTAATATCTATTTATTGCAAATCATGTTAGTTTTCTGTAGAATATTTTTAACTTAAATTTCTCTGTTGTAAGGACTCAATATACAGCCTATTTTGAAGGGGAGGATCTTGTTAAACATTTACCATTAAGGCTGCTTGACTTACTATTAATGATTAGGATAGGCTGGTGCTATCACTGTGAGATCCATGTCTAAGGCAGTGAAAACAACTGCACACCATCAAAAGCCAAGAACATTTAGGAAGAAAGAGCTGCACCCCTGAGGTTGAAGGAGAAGCTAGAGGAGCACACGAAAGAACAAGTTTCTCGTCCAATCCCGCTTGGTGGGCACTTTGTCCTTGTTTGTAGTCAGCCAACTCTTGGGTTCTTTCCTGTCTGGCCACGTGTGTGTTCTGTACCAACTCTTCGTCATTTATGTACCAACAGTCTTCACATTTGATCATTCTTTGTTGATTCTTTATTATCTTTCTATGCTCATGTAGAACCTTTCAGAGGTTTTGTTTTTGTTTTTATTTTGCTACTTTTCTGTCTCTAATGATGTTTTGAACATCTCCAAGGGTCCTGAATTTAGTGTGAGCTATTTGTAAAACTGGCAGCGATGGAGTAGTCCCAGAATGGTTATCTGGGTCTCAAAAATGCTGTTAAGTCTTACCAGGGAGCATGGCCATCCTGCCTTTAAACTGTGATTATTGTAACTCTTTATAGCTGCCTTGAAAGAGGGTAGCAGAAAGCAACAATCCTCTGTAATTTTGTTTGATTTCCCTCTTAGGCAGCATTCTTGTAGTAAAATAAAGGAAATTCATAATATTTATTGCTTGCAACAGCAAGTATTTTCTTAGCCTCTGGCCAAAACAAAACACACAAACACACAAAACAATGAGTCCTAAACTGCTACCGGATCCTTTCCTAAAAATGTACACTTTGTTAGAAAGAAACTGCAGTGAACTTAGAGGCCCAGAGAACCGTTGCTTGGAGCAGTGAGTTCAGTGATTTAATAGTGCAGTGTTTTGTTTGGCAAAATTCTTTAGCTCTTATGTTATCTTTTTTGTTTTGCTTTGATATATGTGAGTAGATTAGCCTTGGGAGGAGAATGAGAATTCATCAAAATGCATCTTACCTGGCTATTTCCGTGAAGAACGACAGGGCACCAAACAACATTCAGAAAATAGTGAAAGGCTGCTGGGTGCAGACAGCCAGGGATAATCAGAAGCCGAGCAGCTGAGATTTTCAGGGATTTGATGAATCTGTTTGGCCACAGGATGCCAGTATTGAACCACTTTCTGTGTGAGAGCATTTCCAGGGTGGGAAGAAAATGTGCTTTGAAGGGGCTAGTCAGATAAATAGGAAGCTTTTTCTTTCCATCTGGAGCAGAGTGGTTAATTCTTCTGGTTGGCTGTTGATGTTATTTACTTATTTATAGATACATGAACTTCTCACACAAAGAAAAAGGGGCAGATACCCCACTGACATATGCGAATACACAGAGACAGCAAGACCTGGTAGACTCCACCAGGGACTGCACCACGTTTTCACAAGCCTGCCTCTATTTATTAGCCAAACCATGTCGCCCTTGAGAGTGTGTAGGTGACTGGAAGTTGAACACTTTTGCAGGGGGAGAGGTATGGAAGTCAGCCTCATTTATACACAATCATTGATCATAAAAATCATTCTGGACAACAGCAATGAAAGGACATCTTCATAAATGGCAACTTTGCCACTCCAGAGTCCTAGACACATAGGCTGTCCACATGGTGTCAAGATAGCTTCATTTCTGACACGCCACTGGAAGCTGATTAATGTTCTTGTAGGTTTTCCTACAAGACTGCAGGGCAACCTTTTAAGTTAACCAAGCTTGCCTACATTCTTAGGGGCCCAAATGATCCTCATTGTGGTGATAAAAGGAGATCATATGAAAAGATTTGGAAGCCATTAAAAACACTATTATTCTTAACTTAACTTCCTGGACATGTTGGCCTTGTGCTAATTCAAAGACTTAATTTTGGCTATAGCTCCCACGCTGGTACCAGCTGTGGTTAAGTAAATCAGATTTTGCCAGTGGGTGTTGTTTCAAATTATTTCAAAGAAAACAACTGAACATGAAAGGTAAAGCTAAAAATACAACTACTATTGGACTCTGAAGATTGCAATTACCGAAAGCTCCAAATGTAGACTCCTTGGCTCTCCTTAAAGAGGTGGTAACACGGGACTGATGATCCCAAACCTGCAGTCCTTATTGTGAGCATGCTTGTGCACATGGGACTGGAAAGCCACGTATGCTGCGGCTCTGCTGGGCAAGCAGGAAGCTTCCCTAGAGGCTGAGTTGGCTCTGCTGTGCATCCATGTCTGAGCCCACTGTTCTAAGAAAACCAAGGAAGAAAAGTGACTGGACTGCAGGAGGCCAAAATCAATCACTTTGCGTCATGCTCCATGGTAATGATAATTACTCAACTTTTGGATCCCAAGAGGCAGCGGGGAAAGAGGCAAGGGTGAATGCGAACAGAACTGACTGAAAGTGGAGGACATGCAGGAAGGGAAAGGACCAAGACGGGGTGGGCAGAAGCAGAAGAAACTCCTTGGCTTTCTGTGTGCTGCTGTGCAAACAGAGAATCCAAATTATGTTCTCAAGGAAGGAGAAAGACACACATTATTTGAGAGGCTGGGTCCAAGTGGCTTCCTGTTTGTCTGGGGCAGATGCAGTATTTTAATGTGGGATGCAAGATGTCTATGAAGCAAAGGGCTGGGGTCCCAGGGTAGAAGATACCTCCTTTGGAAAAGATCTGATGCCGGGCGTGGAGGAGCAGAAGCTGAGTAAGAAAGGCAGCTGTGCAGGGATTGACTCAGGACTTCTCCAGAGTGACAGGGCTAGCTCAGAGGATGTCTCTTTAACGCCACTGCTTTTTGCCCACTGTAAATGCTTAGGAAATGTTGCTTTTTAAAAAGCCTACTATAAGAGAGTTTCAGCTCCTTATATGACTACAAAAGCCACCTCTCTGTTACTATTGATGAATATTTACTTGTCTCACAAAAGTCCATTTTTGTAGGATAAATTTACCATTTCGGTTTTCTATGAATATGGGGTTTAATTGCTCTTGAGTGTTGTATTATGCTCTCTAGGTAACGAGTGGGCTGTGACAAAACGCAGTTTACTTAAGAAACATTTTCATAGAGTTTATCATTTTCCCGCATTGTACTACACCATGTACAATTAATGTACACCGGAAAGTGATGCACTGAAGAAAACAATTTTGTGGAACAGAGCTTTAAAGTAAAGGAAAGCAGTATCTTTATTAGTGTATTATGTATTCTTTGCAAAGGGCTCTTCCAAGTAACAAGGCATACAAGAGGAGAAAGACAGATACCGAGATGAGAAATACATCAGAGAATAGACTATAGACAGCTGCTGGCTGTGAGAAATACGAAGAGGTTCTAGAGGGAGTGGAGACAAAGGAAAACAAAAAGGTCTCTTCCAATTGGAGTCACAAGTTTCTAGGACTGTTGAAATGAGGTTCTTATATTTTAGCCTCCATCAGAATCACTGGTTGTGGACCCGACCCTCAGTTTCTGATTCAGTAAGTCTAGGATTGAATTCGTTATCTTCTCTAATGGTCCTGCTTAATGTGGTTGGTCCATGGAGACCCACACCTTGAGGACCAGACATTTAGTCCTAGTATCTTATTCTACCTCTGAGACAAATTAGGACCTGGGAAATGAGGTGGCTTACTCAGGATACACTCCACATTAGCGAATGGAAAATATGTTGTGATTCTTCTGGTTTTTCTGAGGAACTGGTTGTGCTCTCACAGGTGCAGAAAGAACGATCCAATTTTAAATTGAATATAAAGCCTTTTTGAACATCTATTTATATCTTTGATTATCTCACAATATTTTCAGCCTCCTGGTTCATGACTAAAAGCCTTTATCTGAATGCAAAACATTAATGCATTCTTGCTGAGAGAATACCATGTGAAGTTATAGAAGTGGCTAGTAAATTAATTGCACATGATAGGATTGTAGTGAAGTAAGTAATTCTTGAAAGTGCTGTATAAAATGTGGTTGTCTATTTTTAGTACTCAACTCAAAATAATTCATATTTTGGTGATTTGTGCATTTCTTGTTTCTATGCATTTTTAATTTTTTTTTTTTTTTTTTTTATTTCTCTACAGACAAGATAACCAGAACACTACAGATAATACTGGAAGTTGTACCGGAAGAAGATTGTGATAAATTATAAACTAATGCATTGAGTTTTGACAATCTGCTCAAGCACAGAAATATAGCATGAATCTTCACTTCATTTTCTTGAAATCCAGAGAATTGCAGCTTTGGTGATGGACTAAAGGAATCATTTATTTCTGTTCACATCTTCTAGTATAGTCACAGTAATGTCTGAGAAATTTAGTAGCAATGCTATGTCTTTGTAGAAAGCCGACATGTAAATTTTAGCATAAATTTACATAGTTCTTGAGTTTCTAAATACCTGCCTGTTGAGGTTAGGGAAAAAAACTGAGGAGATAGACTATTAATTGGGTAGTCATTCTCTACATTATATCTTATGACAGAGAAGCTTCAAATCAAAGACTAAGATATTTTCTGTATATATGGGTTTTACAAACATGTTTTGGATACTGTAGATGACTAAACTGTGAAAAGTAGTTTCTATTCTTTTTTTTTTTTTTTGGTTTTTCTCCGGTACCGGGAACCGGACTCACGACCTTGCGCTTGCCAGGCAGGCGCTTTGCCGCTGAGCTAAATCCCCAGCCCTAGTAGTTTCTATTCTGAAAAAAAAAAGTATGTCATTATTATGACAAAGAGGAAAGAAATTTTACATTGGTATTGTTGGTGTTGCCTTGCTTCCCTTGGATGTCATAGTTTAATACATTACACAAAGAGCATTTGAACAAAAGGTAAAGCACATACCTATTCTCTTGAATACATAAGGAGAACTTCTGGGGGCTATTCTTTATGAAGTAAACCCAGGAATTATGTTATTAAAGTCCTTGACAATTTATGTTAGAGATTTTCTCAGTCATTATTAGACCTTCTACTGTTAATGTGTCACACTGTTTTCATGCCAGATCATTTTATGAAGTAGATATGGCCAACTCGGTATTGAAAGTAAGAACCACTTTCTCTTTCACTAAAATTTACCCTTTGAGAAATATGTCCCACCCATTTTAAATCTTCAAATTCCAATATTGAGATGAGAAAAATCGCCAATAAAGAAAATACTCAAAATATCAAGCCCATCTTTATATGTCGATATGCAAGGCCAATAATTCTGAACATCTAAAAAATTTCCATGGTTGTTTTTGCATGATGATGAATTTTGACAATTTGTGAATTTCCTTTTTACATTTTCTATTCTGTTAAAATATCTCATCTGATAAAACTGTCCAGATCAATTAGGAAAAGCCATATATTTGTATAGAAGTTGAGGAAGAAATGTTACTGCTAAATAAGATTTAAAATACGATTCTAAAAAAAATTCTATTTCTAAATCTAGGCTTTGTCAGTAATTTCCTCACTTTGCTTGTCTTTCAACTTGTAAAGGAGATAACTGATAGCAACTTTATTGAAAGAAAGAGAAACTGCCTGAGTGTGTGTTCAGACAGATGTTTTTATGTCAGAATTTGGAAATAGTGTAGAATTTTCAAATGAGAGTAATATAATGATGGAAAATTTTAATTATTATTTGCATGCCTCTGAGATGAAATGGTCAGTCATTTCCAGAATGTTTTGTCCCTTAAGTTTTGCTCATTATAGAATAAGAAATTTTCCAGGAATTACATTTATTAAAACTATTAAAACAGACATGGAATCATAGACAATTGGCCAAAGTAGAAATGATGATTTATAATTGGGAGTAATCCCAATTCATGAATAACATTTAATATACATGCAGGATTGATTTCTTGCCAGACCCACTGCTTAATTCTCTTATAATACCTTCTGTCTATTCATAGCATAGAGTTTTCAAATTTTGATCCATAGTACCTATTTCTGATTTATTATGTCAATTTGTCTGCATCTCTTGCAGCTATCTCTTTCTAGAAGTAAAATTTTTTTACAGATTTATTTTTCCACTATCGAGACACATAAGAGCTAAACAAGCATATTCTTCTTGAATTTTTTCTTGTCTAGTGAAAGATATAATACATGGAGAGGTTTGTGCTGTCCTTAGCTATTCCTGACATTAATGCCCTAACATTGAAACAGGTTGGCCTTAGAATTTATTTTATCTATTTTTAATTCTAATACAGCTTTAAGGTATCACTGTGCAGGTACACATACATCTTTAAGGTATCACTAACTAGAATACCCATTTATTATTGATGGTCTTATTTTTAAAAGTGATTTTTGCATTATTAAGTTTATAATGCCACTGAAATTTTAACCAGGCAGAAAATCAGCCAGTAGATGATGATGATGAGGCAGATTCTTATTTTTGATTTTTTGATACATTGTCTTACTATATAGTTTAGGCTGGTCTTCAATTCACTATGTTGTCTTGAACTCCTGCCTCAGCCTCTTGAGTGCTGGGATTACAGGTGTGTGCCAGTAGATTTTTAAAAAAGTGATGACGATTAATTTATATTTCAGTTTATTTTTAGGCCACATCGTGAGAAGATACAGACTTTCTTTAATCAATGATTTAATATTCATAATTCTTATTAAAATGGTAGCATATAAAGAAGATTCTAGTTCAAAAACTTTCCTGTACACTTGTGTTTGCATATTTTCATGAAGAGCAAAGTCTTTCTTCTATTTTTAGATTGATATATATGCATATACTCACATGTATGTGCTATTTATTATATTGTTATATTTGTACAAACATTATAAATTTATTATAATACAAAAAACATAAATGGTCATATGTTATAAGATAACTAATGCACTCTTTTCCAAAATTCTTTTTTAGTACAAAGCGTCACATTTGATTATGATTTCAAAAGATCAAGTAATGACTTCTAAATTGAAGCACAATTTTATTTACATGAAGAGTGATTCTACTTAATCATGAATAGTTGAAGTAACTATTTTCTTACAGTGTAATGTTGACTCTACTTTTACAGTAACAGATTTATTTTCTTTTGATTAAGTGAAGAAAATTAAACTATTATAAATGGTGACTTGGTTAGCTGTAAGTAAACCTTATTCTTGTCTTTGTTGAGGAGCTTAAAGATTTGTCCCACAAAAGACAAGGGGTTCCCTGTTCCAAACGTGAAAGTCAGGGGTGTGCATTCACATTTCTGTGCACTTACACTAACATTCCCCTGCTCCTGTTGCATGATATTAGGATGCCTTATTAGGTTACACTAGCAATGAACAGTTTCTTTCTCTAATGCTATGTATGTGGAAACCAATTTCCAGATTGTCTCACGTGTCTACTGAAATTGTTTCCTCAATTGCTATTTCCTGTATCAACAGGTGTTTGACATGAGTGTAATCACATAACAGAATTCTTTGTGAACTGTGATCAGCCTTCAAGAAACTCATTATTTTATCATAATTTGCAGATGAATGTAATGCTAAGAATGGGAGTAACACTGACCTTTGTATTGATCATTTATAGTTCAGGTGTAAGTTATAAAAACTGAAGGTCAGAATATAAGAAAATGAAAAGTAGTGTGTGATTGGATGTGTAAATTGGTGTTATACATTGTGTAATGTAATTGGAAAGTATTCCAAATGATTTATCTGCTGGGTATAGACAAATACCCTGAAAAGCTAATTTAATTGCAGTGCCTCTATTAGACAAGTTCCTTCCAATATGCTGTACTTTAATTTTACATCAGGAATTTTATATTAATTTTCTTGAGGTAGACCAGCAAAATTATATATATTTCTGGCCCCATGAAATTCACATCTTTAATTGTAAGGTAAAATAACTCCCTTTATGGGATAGTTAGTATATATTTTAAGTATTAAAGTTATCCACTAACTGCTGTATTTACATCTAACTGTTAGTGGCTTTCTCACGTAATATGGGACACATAAGAAAATAGTTTTACCTTTGTCAGAATTTTAGGGGTTGGTTTTGAAGGAAAGAAAAGCAAAGCGTGTGGTTTAAATTGCAGCTCTTTTTTTTAGTTTAGGAAAAAAAATAGATTTGAGGGTTTGAACACAGATGACTCAAGAAATTTGATTTTACTTGAATATAACATTGCTTCATTTTGCTCTACATAATATGCAGTATGTTGGTGCTGATAGTGTTTACAGAGTTGCTTTTTATTTTCCTAACCATTTGAAATCAGCAATTAAATCATGGCATTGTGGAACTAGCAAAGAGCTCATAGTGGATAGTAATTAAAATAGATGTGCCATTTTCATGGTTTCTGTTTATATGACTCGCATATAGATGAAAGAATTATTACCTATATGTGTATTTTAGCTTAATTTCCCTATAAACAGTATTTTAAAAATCTGTCTCAATATATGTATTTCTTAAAAACGTGACCTGCATATAGGCCATAATTTGTTAGTACTGTACTTAAAAACAATTTAACAGTAAATTTTTGGAAGTAATCCTTTCTTCCTTTCATTGCATTTTCAAGTCAGTTTGCATCTAAAACTAAGTGTTTTATGTATGTTTAGCATAGACACAGATTAAAGAAAAAGCGAATCTTGGTCTTAACAGAAAATAACAATTTTCCTTATGTTGTGAGATATCTTCCTTACAACCTCATATCAATATTAACCTGGTCTTTTAGAACCATTTTTGGTTCATTTGAATAAACTAATGACGCCCTTTATTTCATTTTTTGACATTATACTCTTAAGAGAGGCAGTGAGTTTTAATTTGCATTTGTACAATTATCTAGATTTTTCCTTTCTTTTCTTTTCTTT